TAAATATATTAAGCTAAAAGTGGAACAATATTAATGAAGATTTAAGGAATTTAAGTATAGCAAAATAAGAAGCTTTTATTTAAAAATAAAGTTAATAAGCTTATATAAATGTTTTGATTTCCTTTAATATATTAAATTATTAATATATATAAAAAACAAGATCAATAGTTTAAATATAATCAGAATATTTAATTAATATATTTAAAAATACTCAATATATAATTTATATATAAAGTTTAATAGAAAAGTGAATAAAAAAGTAAAAATAATAAAAGATATTATTTATTAGCTTACAATTATATAAAACAATTTAAAGGTCTTTTTAAATATCTAATAGTAAATAACAAGTAGAAGGGTTTTAAAGTGTTATATATATAATATTAATTGATTCAAATGATTTATATACTTTATTGATAAGGTTATTAATTAGTTTGTTAATATTAGGAATGATTATACCTATTAAAATTATAATTAGATTTAAATTATTATTTATTTATTGAATAATATCTTTAAATATAATAATATCGAATACTCTTTTTAAAAGAATTGTTTACAAATAATTTTTAATTTAATTATTGTTAGGATTAATGTATACTAAATAATTCTTTATTTTATAATTCAAAGTATCAAAACGAATAGTTTCATAGATAAAACAATATATAATATAAAAGTTAAATCCAGATAAGAATTCAGTTTATTTAACTTATTATTAATTTAATTTCTTTATTAATATAAATATTCAAGGTTTTTATAATCAATAATAATCTTGAATGGTTCTTAAGCTTTATATAATTCTAGTTTTTATTTCTTTAATGATTTTATAATAATTAGAAATTCGTTATTATAAATCTTATAATTACATTTAATAGTATTATATTTTAATAAGAAATATATTATCAAGCTTAAATATTCTTTATTATTATATTATAGAAGGATATTATTTACAATCTGTTTAAAAGTGTCAATCTTTATGATTGTATAATAATAATAACTAAATATAATAAGAATCAGAATAAAGAAGAAAATGATTTTTAATATTCTAAAGATATTCTCTTAATTAAAATTTAGTTTTATATTTTTTCCTTCTTTAAAAGATAATTAAAAAGCTTTATAATCTTAGAAAAGTTATAAATAAAATATTAATTAAAATTAACAAATTTAAAAGAATATTAAAGATTCTTGAACTTAATCAATAATTCTTAATTAAATATAATATTGATATTTTTATTTATATTTTTTATATTTTTTAAAGTAATACTTAAGTTGAAGTATTTAATTCTTTTCGTTTTGAATTTATATTTACTGATATCAATTTGTAATTCGATATTGATTAATTATCAGATAATTTTATAGATACATTTTTTATAATGTGTAATATTTTTAAAGTAAATTAGAATATTATTCAAATACATTATATAAATTCTATTTAAAAGATTAAAAAGAATATAGTTAACATATTTCTAAAACAAGATTAATATATTATAAAGTTTGAAAAGTATTATTAATGATTTGAATAAATTAAAATAAATAATGAGAATAGTTTTTATTTTATAATTCTTTTACAATTTATAGTTTATTAAAAATAATAATGATATCAAGCTTAATATAGATTTTAATTTAATATAAGGTATTAAGAATTTCTTTAATTAATAATAAAAGTATTGATCCTTAATAATAATATTATTTAGTTCTTAATAGTTTTAATAAATTCGAACACTTCCTTTAAATTTAACAATTAAAAGGAATAAAACAATCAATTAAAAACAAGATTCCTAAATAAATCCCTTGTTTGAATTGTTATTAGATTATTTATAAACAATTAAAAGTTTGATCAAGAATATTAAACAATTTTTATTATATAATTTTTTATTTAATATAATTTCGATTTTATAATTTCAGGAATATTATAATGAAAGTTTCTTAATAAGAGAGGGTAGGAATTCTAAATATAGATTATAAAATTAGGGAAATAATTTATCTTGAATCTTTATTATAAAAGAAATAGATTGATTTGTTTTCTTCATAACCTTATTGATATTGCTATTAATTAAGTTATAATATAATTGAACATTATCTTTTGTTATTATATAATATAGTTTACAAACTTTATTCAATTCGTTTTAGAATATTTTTTTGATATAAATATCCTGGCTTTTATAGAATTATATAAAGCTATTACTTGTAAAGAACTTTATATTTTATATCTAGAATTGAATACTTTATAGAATATTGAATAATTTATTTTGATTTTATAATAATCTTTATGTATTCTGAAATTAATAATAATTCAAGCTAAAGTTAATTTTAAAATTAATTAATTTGAATTTATTTTAGCTTGAATATTCACTTTATTATTAATATAATAGATATAATATAGATTTAATTTGAATAAAGCTTAGAAATTAATAATATTGATTTCTTTATAAATATTTAAGATCTTAATAAATTCAAGAATTGTAAATTGATTTTTAAATAATAACAAAGTATTTTTGAAGTTTTTATTAATGATTTTCTTTATTGAGATTGATTTCGAAATAAGCTTTTATAAGAATAGTACAAGATCGATCAATATAACTTTGTTACTTTTTAATAAAATTACCTTATAATTATTAATAATATTAAAAACAATAGTTATTATAGAGTTAATAAGGTAGTAACATCTTGAGTAATATATAAATATAAATCTTAATATTATTATTGATTGATCGATAATAGGATTGTAATGTTAAAACTATAAAAAGTTAAGAATCATAGAGGTTATAATTAATAAAGTAATAATATAAAACAAATCGATCTCTTTGTAATTATTGATCTATAGGTTCAAAAGTATATGTTAAGAAAAGATATTAAAGGGTTTTTTATTAATTAAAAGTAAATAATAAATATAAAGGAAAAAGTGTATTGATATATAAAACTTAAAAATAACTTTTTTATTAATAAAACTATAATTTATAGCTCTATTATCTATAAGATTAATAAATAAAATAATTATATCAAATATAAAGAAGATTTCTATTGAGATTTTAGAAGATTTATTATTTATTAGTCTAAAATATAATTTTTTTTGAAATATAATTAATCTTTTAATTTATAAAGATAAATTTCTTATAAAGAGTTTTAATTCGTAATAGTAAATTAAGGTTTATTTTTTAATATATTTAATTAAAGAATTAAGCTTTTATTTTCCTTTGAGTAAATAGATTCTTTAATATTTTCTTTTGAATTAATTTCTTGAATAAAGTTGGAAAAGATTAAGAAGGTAAAGTGTAATAATGTAATTGAAAAACGATTAATAAATGGAAACGAATTTCAACATAAAAAGGTAAAGGTATCATAGTAGAATTTAGGATTTTAATATTAATCCATTATAAAGAAGTAATTAATATATTGTTTTTGAGTATAATAAGATAAAGAATATTAATCTTAGTAAATAATATCTAATAGAATAATTGTTAAAGATATTTGATATAAAAAGAGTTGTAATAATAATTTATTTTCTATCATAAGGTTTCGATTAATTAAAATTGAAATTAATATCTTGATTTTTATATTAATTATTAAGATGAATCTTCTTTTTCAAATCATTATAAGTATCTTATTATTAGATTGTTTATATATTAATATTAATAATAAAAAACTTATTAAAACAATTAATCAAAGTATCAATTAGTTTTTGTAAAATCTTAAGCTTGAAGTTAGCAATTTATTATTCAATAGTTTTTTGACATTTAATAATAAATTATTTAAACTTAATAATAAAGTTGTTAAATAGAATCTTCTTTATTTTATATTTATTATAATCTATAAAAATCTTATATAAAAGATTAAGAGTTTGATATTACTTATTCAATTTGCATTAAATATTTACTATAATATATTATTTAAAAGACTAAAGTTTAGAATTATATGAATTATTAATAAATATATCAAAGTATATTTAATCACTTATATAAACAGATTTAAAAAAATAAATTAATAAGAAATGTAATCTTTTAAAACTTTAATCTATACTTATAATTTGTAATTAAATAACAATTAATTATGCTATAAAACAATATATATTAATTCTAATATTTTATAATGTTTTATTTTTTATTATTAAACTTTTTAAAAACAATAAGGTATTTTTAATAGAATAGAGTTTATAGGTTATTAAGAATAACAATTTTCAATACTATAATCTTCAATTAGATATTAATAGCTTACGCTTTTATAATAATAATTTAAGCTTATAATGAATTAGTAATTAATTCAATTGATTTAAATACAACTTATATAATTATGAAATGTATATATTCGAATTGTTGAATAAATCTATAAATAAAAAGATATTAGTTTTAATAAAGTTGATAATATAATTTAAGAGAAGGAATTATAGGAATAAATACAATACAAATACTTAGTTAATTATCTTCAGGATATTTTTACAATTATAGAATAATCTTGTAACGCTTCTTAAACAATAATAACTAAGATATATAATAGATTAATAGTAAATATAAATGTCATAATTCGAATATAATATTAATAGAATTTAATTAAAATAAAGTTGTAATAGCTTTTATAAAGATAATATAAATTGTTAGAGTATAAGTAAAGACTTATATTGTATTATAAGGGTAAAAGGATTATAAAAAAGTAAAGCCTTACTTATAGAAAGTAAAGTATATTAATAGTTTATATTTAAGGTATAAAGATAATTACAGATCATATAGTTGACGCTGTAATAAGGGGATAATACTAATTTCTCACCTTATCTTGACTATTTTACTTGTATATTCTAAGAAAATATTAAGAAAGAGATAAAAATCAAGAGAATGATATTTATATCCTTTATCTAATTGACGATTTGTGTCGTCAGCCGTATATATTTAAATGTAAAAGGTTTTTATAAAATTCCACGACTTTAATTCTCGTCGTCTATATATAAACTTTTATTTCACAAGCAGCAAGAATATCAACATTCAATTACAAAATTCATTTTCAGATTTTGAATGAAAAACTTTAAATCAATCCTTTGCTCTCCAAGTCTAGTCGATATTGACTGAACGATGATACATCTTTCGAACCTATTCGGCTGATCTTCACCCTCTTCTCCTCTCGACTGTCTGTTTCCTGTTCATAAAGCTAAAACTGGTCTTCCGGTGCCGTATTCCAAATCAAAAACCGGCATTGAAGTCAACGGTGTCTGTAAGCCCAACTTGGATGGACAGACGGGGTCGTTGCTTGTCTTCAAGTCTAATGTGCATTCTTCATCTATTCCGAGTGTACAAGAACTTGTTGCAATGTTCCACAGTCCGCTATTCTGGGAAATCCAATTTGACCCTGCAAGTGTGCAGTTTGAAATGTAGTTCATCGAGTTTGCGGCGGAGAATGGTAGTTTCTTATCTGGAGACAAAATCAAATCCGAGCAAGCCGACATGGGCTGCGTGGTATATGTAGCGAATATACCGCCTCCTTGTTCCGGGTTTACCGTAGCAGACTGTCCCGTGTAAAGGTAATTCCAGGCATCATAAGATATGTCGTGTGCTCCACCTGAATGGTCGATATGGAGCAAGTTGACGGACCGTCTACCGTAAGATACCTGCACGCATATGCTAGCGCCGCAGTCAGGCCAAGTAGGCCAGTATGCAACTGTAGCAGATCGGGTGTTAATATTGTTGAGTGATGATTTGTTTCCTTGGCTATGTACATACCACGATTAGTGTTAATCATACACCCAAGAACTCCGATTGAGCTGCCAAAAAATGGATGGGGGGTTATGGCAACCGGTGTCCCTGCTGCTGGGGCTGCTGCTACAACGGAAGAGCTGGCTGGATCGCCTACTGCTAATGCAGCGCTCGCAAGTGCCAGAAGAAAGGTGAGATAATGTTCCATGGTCAGGAACCGATCAAAGAAAAGTGGTATTTTTGTAAAAGATTTAAGAAGACGACAGCAAATGCTGTATTATTGTAAGATAGAGACGTTTGTTCAAAATGAGTGACTACGAAAAGAAGGACACAAAAGAATGACTAAAACGAAACTTGCATTGCAACAAACAATGAAGAAAATTGTAAGTGTTTTATTCCAAAAGATGAGAAGGGCAGAAACGAGATACTAAATAGGTGGTGAAAGTGTACCAATAACCGAAAGATACATCTACCAAGTTTATGATCCCATAGATGGAGGCGTAGCAAGGCATTCGACGACCTTCATATCAGGTATATGTTCATTGCAGGCTTGATGTAGCCTTCATACCAGGTCTCTTTTCCTTTTAGGCCAGGTGTGGGAGGTTGCTATCCATGAAAAAATCCTGTCGTGACATCTTTTGCAATTTGAAATTTGAAACAGATGAGGATTGTCCTGAGGATTGTCTTGAGGATTGATTACTCGACCCAGCACCTCTGACAGGAGAATCAAGCAAGGCCTCTTCCCCATGCAATCCTCTGATACGATTCTTCCATAATATATTGCCCCTGAGTTCCCTTTACCGCAAAGGAAAACTTACTAACTATGGCGCAAGCTGCATAATGGTGTTTGGATTGTCTTTCGAGTGTCTATGATAGTCAATGATTATCGACATCTTTGAAGCGGTCGTCATCTAACATTTTGAAGACCCATTAAGATGTCGCTCATCTGAAATGAGCCAACAAGATGATGAAATACAGGGTGTAACGTCTTCGTTGTCTTATTGTGGTCGGGCCGTGAAGGATAAGGCTTGGCGAAGGAACGGCCGAATTAAAAGAGTACAGTCAGAGCGACCCTCCTGCCTAGAAGTTAGTGTCCTACAAGCAGTGAGATACAAACAAATAAATAAATATCGATACCGATACCGATGAATACACAGAAATACCTACCTATAAACAAGTAGCGGCTATACGCGTGCTCATGCACTAGCGCATATTAAATGCATACGATCCTCGTTTTACTATTAAACAATTTTTAGGTAGAATTTTCAGATAAGCATTTAGGGCTCGTTTGTAAGAGTTGAGGCCCCGGCTTATCGCACATCATTCTTTTTCGTAACAAAATCCCTGTAAAATTACTGTTTTCCTATATAAATTAATTATTTTTATAATTCGTCAACTATTTGAAGAATTAATTTGAAATTTTTATATATATAAAATAACCATATAAAAAATATTCGATTTAAATAGTTCTCTAAAGTTATAAAAATTGATAAAGTTATAGGTTTTTAAAGTTAAAATTTTTTAAAATTTTTAATATGTAATACTTTTTTTATTTAAAAAAAATCACTTTTTTTAAGTTTTTTAATACTTTTTAACTTTAAGAACCTATAACTTTCTCAAAAAAATAGCTAAAAATATTCTATTTGTTTTTTTGAATTATTTCAGTAATTTTCAACTCTATATATCATTTTTGTAAACTTAATATATAGATTAATTAAATTAATATATAGTTTAAAATTAAAAAATAAGAGTTTTTAGTATGTTTTCGCTTAGTGTACGATAAGCTGGCGTCTAAACTCTTATAATAATTCTAGTCAGAATCTATTAAATTTTCCGCTTTTGTCTTTTTAATTATCCTCAAAGCGCGAGAAATGAGCTCCGTCGCTTAACATGGGCTTATCAATCTATCAAATCCATAGAATTCCGAGAATTCTTATTAAATATTACTAATTTCAAAAGATAAATTTAAATAATATATATAAAACCTATTAATCATTATTTTTCAATAAAAAAATGAGATATATTTAATAGATTTATTATTAAAAATTAGTAAATTTTAATCTTTAAATATAATTTGAAGACTTTTATTTATAATATTATTTATAAAGTTGTTAATATTCTTAATCTATATAAGAAATACTTTCGGAGTCTATTTATCGTACTTTAGAGGATAGTGAATTCTATAATAGCACATTTCTATTTTAAAAAAGATAAATTTCTATATTTCGTTTTTCTATTTATTATATTAATTTTAGTATAGAATTTATAGAAATGAAACAAAGTAGAGTATATATATAATAGATGAATATATATACTTCTAAATAACGTAGTTTATTAGTATGTAAACTATATTATTATATAGACTACTTTAAAAACGTACTAAAATTAAGGTTTTTTTGATAATTAGATTTTAAAAAATTATTATTATTTTGAAAGAATAAAATGATATTAAATAATAACAAAATTTTAATATTTAAAAAATCTATTTTAAAATGTAATCTTTTTAATGAATTTAAAAAACTAACTTTTGTTATAGTTCTTGTTATAAAAAAGTTATCCTTTAATAACTATTATAATTATTTGAATTTTAAAGAAATAATTAAATTTTTATTAGAGGTTTATCTCCTTAACAATCTTACTATCTACAAGAACTAAAGTACTATATATACATAAAAAAGTTAATTTGCTAAGTCTGAAACTCAATTCAAATAATATAATTAATTTGAACCCCTATATATAATATTCTTAGTATTATAATCAAACACTATACTATTATAACATTATAACATTTTTACTTAAAATAACATTTTCTAATAAAATCCATTTGAATTATCTTATTAAAGTAAATCTCAAAAAAAAAAAGAAAAAAAAAACATATAAAATAAGCTAAAGGCTTTTTGTTAATCAATTTTTTATAATACTAGCTTTAATATTAAAATTTATATATAGTACTAACGTACTACTACTAGTTACTTATCAAAATCGCATCTAAAAAAGTCATTTCATTACTTTTATTATATATAAAATTAATAACGTTAACTGAATATTTTATTCGAATTTTAAATATTTATATTATTTCGATATTAATATTTGATAAAATTATAATTTTAATCCTCTTTAATTTTTTTAATTCGGTAATTATGTTATTTAAAAACATATTTATAAAAGTTCATAATTTTCGCTTATTTTATTAACAAATTTTAACATTTTAAAGATATTTTTTTTCTCTTGATTTCAACTTATCATTCTTTAATATAGAAAATTATTAAAAACGAATTGTGAAATTATCTATATATACTATTGATTTTATGAATTAACAATTAGAAGTATATTCTATAAGTTTTTATAAATTTTAGTATGGATTTAATAAGTAGCTAGTAGTAATATCCGATGACTATAATAAATTAAAGTTCAATTTTTTTAAATACTTTAAAGCTTATATAATTAATATAGAAGAGAAAATATTAATTATGATAGGATTTTTATTAAAAAATTGATTATACTATTTAATCCTTTCATAATATAATTATCGATTCGAATAAAAAAAACTAAGAGATGACCTATAAATATTATATAATAACATGTAATTTAATATAAAATAATTAAATTAAGATTCTCAGAAAAGTAAAAATTGTGAAAACGAAAAAGAAAAAAAAAGAAAGAAATGAAAATTATAAATAATTCAATGATAAACCGACTACGCCTGTAAGCATTCAATGAATTTGTTTTTAAACTTTTTATAATAATAAAGATTATTATATTATACTTTCTTAAAAAGCAAGGGGTGCGGGGACTCGCAGGCCCCTAGTAATACTAATATAATTAGAACATATATATTAAATTTTCATGAGATTTTATTAGTATATAAAGAAAGTATATAATTATATATAAATGAATCTTATATTTGAAATAAAGTAGTTCATATAGTAATATAGTCTATATACTAATGAACTATATTAGAGGAAATTTGAAATTTTAATATATAGATATTCTAAGTTTGCTATTATTATTTAAATAGTTAAATAAGCGAATATAGATGTCACGGGTTTAATACATAATTATATGAATATCTAAGGTATCCACCCTCTATATAATTATAACCTCTCTACCTCCTTCTTTACTCTTTATAGAATATCATATATCTTATCTAGTATCTATTTTTTATATTATAATAATATATTCTACTTTATAAAAAAGTTTTATTATAGTAAAAACAATTCAATTTTGAAAAGAAATTCTTTATTTTTGTTTTTATTTATCTAAAATAGATCCTTTTATAATTTTTATAATCTTTTATACCTTTTATACCTTTTCATTTTCACTTTTATTTTCATTCTTATTTTTATTTTCATCTACATCTTCATTTTATCCTTTTTACCTATTATAACTAATACATTAGATGCTTTGAATACTAGTTTATTATTATTTGTTTTATTTAAAATAATTCAAACTAAAATTAATAATACTTTTAATTAATAACAATAGATTACAAAAAAGCTATCTAGTCTTTAGACTTATAAACTTTACAGCCCCCTTTTTTTATTAATATTAATATAAAATTAATAAGATTATCTTAATTATTTGTATAATATTATTAATTATATATTTAATTTATTCTTCATTACTCAACAAATACTTAAACAAGATTTGATTATAAAACATTTTTTTAAGATTATTATGAACAATTAACTAAGTATTTAATTTCAATTAATTTAATTATTATAATCTCAAATTGTATAAAACCTATCAGATGCTTCTACTTAGAATAAAACTAATTGATAATAAACTTTAAAGAACTTTAAGTTTCTTTAAAAAAAGTAAATAGAATTGATATTTTAATAAAAGGAATATACTATTTAAAAACAAGGCTTATAAATCTACTAGATAATCAATCTAATTATTTTCGATATAGATAAAAAGAAATTTTTATATTTAACCTTTTTTATTAATAATTATATATATCAAAAAAGATTAATTAATATAAATAATATTATTAATAAAACCTCAATTTATATTACTAACAACTTCTTTTTTAACAAGCTTAATAGACTTTACATCTTAGTTGATATGATATATAAAGTCTTGATTTAATTTAATAAATTCAAGATAATTAATAAGATATTTTTTTCAACTTTTTATATTTAATTAGAATACCTCGATACAGTATATTATAAATAATTATACAAAATAATTACAATAATAAAGATAAAAATCTTTTATAATCTTTAATAATTATTTATATAAGATTCTAATCCTTGTTCTCTTATTAATATGAATGATTGGAAATAAAAGTTTGAAGTTTGAAATTAGAATTTATAATAAAATGAATACCTTTTAGAATCAAAAACAAATTTGAGTTTTATACAATATTATATATCTTCAATTAGTATATCGTTTATTATATTAATATTATT